ACCAGGATGGAAACCAGAGGGGTTTGTTCTGCAGCGTTTGGCTCCAAGCCTTCCAGATGTTAGGAGGCGGCGGGAAGGCGGGTGGAGTTGGAAGGGATCTGGAGGGAGTGTGTCTGTCCTTGGGTGGGGGGGGGCGGGGGCTCCCCTCCCTACGCCATCACCCTGGCTCAGGAATTTCTCAGCTCCGCCCAGGATCATCACTGCTGCCTCTTGGGGCTTCCCGTCTCCAGGCATTGTGCACACGGCATTCTGACACCTCCCCACAGCCCTTGGAGGCCCGCACGGGCCCCAGGCTTCACCCACATCCTATTGCTGCCCAGTCCTCCAGCACAGGACACAATGCAGGTGGACTGGCAAGTCCGACAGGTCTGGGCACAGCACCCACGTCCTCCACTTACCGCTCCACAGCCTCTCACCCCTCAGTTTCCTCATCCGTGAAGCGGGCTGGCTGGTCCCTGCACCCTCATCAGTAGATACAGTGCATGGGCCTACAGTGTCTGGCACATAGTTGGCCAGGAACGGTAGCCCTTGCGCCCCAAACCTGCATCTCACCCAGAACGCAGAACTCTCTGTGCCCACCTGGCCTGGCTCTGCCAGTTGGGACCCTGCCCTTTAGGCCCAGCTCAGATAGCACTGGCCCTGTGGCTCGTCCAGCTCGGAGCTACATCCCGCCGCCCTCTGGGCACATTCACACTTCCTTTGTGACTCTCACCGTGTTCTTCCCTGCGTTGCTGCTATGTCGGACATTCTCATCGCCCCCGCCAGAGGGCTGCTCCCCAAGGCCAGGAGACAGACTCTCGTGCCCCTTCTGTATCCTCTCCTGCTTTAGACACAGATCATCACGTAACATGGTCATTAGCTGGTGCCGGCCTGTCGACCCCCGTTCTGACAGCCATCGATAACGAGGCAGCCAGGCTCACACCCGAGAGCTGGGAGGCCTGTTCACCGGCCCAGATCTCAGGATGGCTCGTGTAGGGCCATAGCCAGAGTGGCTGGGCCTGGACCCTCAAGGCCCCCTTTGCCCCGGGGCCCTGGTCTCGGTCACCTATTCCGTGCCGTTCACTCCGGCTCTCCAGCAGTGCCGACAAGCCGCTTCTCCCCTCTATGCCTGGTGAGGGAAAGGTCATCCTGGCACACCCACAGCTGGGCAGGGAGAAGTTAGCTACGCAGAGGCAGGAGGGGAAGCCCAGGCCAGGAGAGTTCAGGTGACCTCCAGTGTTACCCTGGGAGGTGGTCCTGGAGCGTCTCAGGTGGCCCCCAAACACAAGGTGGCTGGACGAGGTGCAGGACACTGGAGTTAGGGACACGCGGTGCCCATCCGGGACAGTGCAGCCCTGAGCAGCCCTGCACACCTCCCCTCCTCCTGGCGCCTCCGTGCCAGCTTCCTCCTCCTCCTCTTCCTCCTCTTGTGTTCTCTTAAACCTTTACATCATCAAAGCAGGTCATCTGTCCAGGTCACCGAGCCTGCAGATTGGCCCCTTCATTTTCCGTGTCGCGGGTGTTGATCAGGTTTCCCTATGGAGATGATTCCGTTGGAGGCCTGCTGTTGGCTTCCTCCCACCCCATAGGATTCGAACTGCTTCCCCAGCTACCACCAAGTGGCCACGGCGGATGTGCCCGCCAGTGCAGGCGGCCGTCATCCGCTCGCCCCCTGTGAAAGCAGCTTCTCCTGACTTTCCGTGTTTGGCTTGCTACTGGAGGGGCTGCCCTGCTGGCTCGTGGCACGCAGCAGCTCCCCAGTTCCTTTCGTGGATCCTTCCACTGCATATGCTCTTTCTCTCCCGAGTGTCAGATTCCCTGCTTCTCCCCAAAGATGCCACAGGTCTGGAGTGATAACACCGTCTTTGAAAGAACAGCCCCTCCCCTAACTGGTTTTTACTATTAACGCCCACAGGCCAACACTTGTGCATGGAAGTCACGTGGGTGCTCTGGGTGAAGATCCAACTCTGTTCCAGGCTCGCTCACTTCCCAGGTGCCCAGTTCGCAGGGGGTACCGTCAGCCGACGTGGCCCCGCTGCTCAGAAACGCAGGAGCCTGTGACAGGCCTCTGTCTGCCCGATGCGGACACGTCATTGCCAATGTGATCATTCAAAGGCCAGGTGGGATCTGGGCCTGGGGAGTTGCCAGAAAGCAGCAAGAGGGGGTCGGGCATGCAGGGAGGCATACAGGAGCAGGGCCTCTTGCTCCCTACCCGGCAGCACCCACCCCTTCAGCCTGAACTTAGGGCACTCAGAGCCACAGATCCCTGTCCCATCCTGGAGTGCCTGCCACCCGGGCTGGGGGCAGAGCATGGTTTTCCCAAAAGTCAAAAGTAGTACAGGGGTAGTATCAGTCTGGCCAAACATACGGCATGAATCCGTGTGTGCAGTTTGCAGAAGAGGTGCCACCAGAGAGAAGAGAGGGAACTTCCTGCCCACTGGAGGTGTCCTGAGGCTGGATCGAGGTGCTGGCACTAAAACTCACCCAAGGGGAATTCATGACCGGTAGACGTGGGGGAGGCTAGCAGGATCTTGACGACAGACATGGGGGCCTCGCTGCTCAGGGTGCCCAGCCTCCCCCAGGAGAGACCCCACTCTAGGCCCCACATGGACACAGTCACTGAGCCAGTCTCGCAAAGAGCCGGGAAGCATCCGGTGGGCAATGGGGAGCTCACCTCCGGAGGCCGCCGCCAGGTCCCCCTGCGTGGTAGCCTCTTCCGCAGCCCCTGGGTCTCACCCGGTGGGGGCCACTTGGGGCGCAGACTGGCTTCCGAACTGGGGCAGGGTTCTGGAGAAGGTTCCGGCCCGGGCTGGGCTTCATGTTGGCCCCAAGGAGGCACCAGCCTGGCTTTCACAACGGCAGCCATGATGGGATCACTGCTAGTGACTCAGGCCCTGATGCAGTTGGGTGGGGCCTGGGAGGCTGCAGTTTACACACACTGCCAAGGTCACGGCCCTGCAGGGCAGTGGGCGCTGGTCACCACCCTCTCTGCCTGCGCCCGGGAGGTGCTGCAGCCACGCAGGGCTCAGCCAGTGGGGGACAGGCCCTTGGTGCCGCGGGCCCCACCAGGCACCTCGGCTGTTTCCTCCCGCCCTGCGTGGGAGCAGGATCGGCTTGTGCTGAGCTCCGACTGGGGGGTGGGTGGGAGGTGGGCTCTGTGTGCAGTGCAGGTTCTACGGGTGTTATTTCCATGGTGGTATCTGCTGCTCTCGTTGGATCTGAAAATGTGTGTGCATTTTTCCTGAGCAGGACTGAAATGTCAGGGTCGTAGCCTTCCCCATGGGCAGGGCCCTTTGGGGCCCTCCTGCCCCCTCCACCCAGGCAGCGTCCCAACCGCTGAGCCTCCAGGGCTGGCTGCTCAGTGACAGGAGGCCTTGGTCCCTAGAAACACCTGCTCCTCGTACCCAAAGGTGTGTCCTTGTTATCAACACCACTTAACAGCTCTTCCCATGGACCAGTCAGGTCCCTCTCCGCCAGACAGGGTCTGCACCCTGGGGAGCCCCACACTCAGAGCCGTGGCTCTTCGTTGGACTTCTTTGATTTTCCCTTTTGGCCTCTTGTCATCCTTTTATCCATTTGTGCTGGTTCCAAGACTGTGAGCCTTGAAGAGAAAGGACATGGGGAATGATCGTCTGCTACCTGAGGGACTTGAGCCCAGAGCTCCTAGGCGGGGGGAAGGGAGACTGGTAGGGGCCCAGCATGGCTTCCTGTGTGCCCGGGTGCAAGGACAGCCTGGTAAATCCAGCCCCACACGTAGTGCCTGCAGAGCTCAGGGCTCTGGGGAGACAGGGAGGTGCCACTCATGCCCCCCACCCGCCCCCAGCAGCCTGCAGGGTCTGCTCATAACCCTCCCATTAGGGAAAGGATGTGGCTCGTGCCTGGGAGACCTGTCCCTGTCTGCCCCGCACCATGTCCTCCTCTACTGAGCGGGCCATCCGTCCTGGGGCCCCGGAAGGTGTGGTTTTGAGCACCTACACGTCAGCTCCCTCCCAGTTCACCAGAAGAGTCTTGTCTCTTGTCAGGCAGTGAACTCATTTCCCTCTCTGGCAACCACTGAATTTGAGAACGTCCTGTTTTACCGTCATCAAAAGAAGTGAAACTGTCCCATGAAATAAAGTGGAACGCCCCATAAATGCCTAGGGAGCAACCAGGGTCTTTCCTTACAGAGTGGCTAGCAGCAGGAGGGCAGCCCCTGCCCGTCCTGCAGGGTCCCCTAGAGGATGGCACGGGGCCCGAGCCGCTGCAGGTGGCAGACAGTCACCAGGCAGGCCGTGCACCAGCCCTGCCTCCTTCCTGTCCCCCCACTGCAGCGGCCTCACAGCTCACCTGCACCCCCGGCCCCTCCTGACTCCCAAGCTCAGCCAAGTAGGAACCCCCGACCCACTGGGGAAATGGCCCCGTCTCCTCTGGACCCTGTTGCGGGGTGGGGGGCACAAAGTGATGGACTGGGTCGTTCCTGTGTCCATTCAGCCGCAGGACCCCCTCCCCACCACAGACCTGTTCATTTCCCAGAGGTGCCCAGGGAGAATGTATTTTGGGGAAGTGCTGGCCCCAGGGTTCCCAGGATTCCTTCCCAAAGTGGCCGGAATTCTGGGGGAAAGGGAGGTGTGCGATCCCCGAGCAAAGAGGCTCTGATGAACCTCTTCCCCACACCTGGAGCTGAACCATGGCATCACTGTCTGGGTGTGGGCACCTTGGCCCTGAGAGAGGACATCACTCAGCTGCGGTTGGCCCCAGGCAGGTCTCCAGGGATGGTGGGCACTCGAGGGGTAGGCGTGGCCAGGGAAGGCTTCCAGCAGGAGGCGCCACCCTCCCACCCTGCCCTGGGATCCAAGGAGGGTGTGGGTGTGGAAGCAGGGCCTCACTTGGCCACCCATCTTGCCGTCAGCTGCGTCCCTGAGAAGCCGTCATGGATGTGCTGACCCCTTCACCAGCTCCCCCCGGCAGTGGACGTGGCTGGAAGGCATAGTTGGGCCTCCTCCTTGTCTGAGGCTCACACTGTTTTCCCTCCTGTCCCCCAGCTGGTCAGTGAGAAGGTCGGAGGGGCCGAAGGGACCAAGCTTGATGAAGACTTCAAAGAGATGGAGAAGGTACCAGGAGAGGTGGTGCGGCCCGCCTGACGCCCGGCGCCGTTTACCCTCACGGGCCACAGCAGCGCTACAGCTGGGCTGCAGGGGGGGCTCATGGACGGACGGGTCCCCCGGCCCTGGGAGGCAGGGAGGCCAGCAGCCCTGAGCGCAGCACGCCGTTCTTGTGTGGGCTCTGAGGCAGGTGGGGCCGGGGAGCAGGGCATGGGCTGTCCAGGGACTCCAGGTTTGGCCTCTGGCACCCCGATGGTTGCAAAAGCCCACACCCTGCCTCTCTTGACAGAAGGTGGATGTTACCAGCAAGGCTGTGACAGAAGTGCTGGCCAGAACCATTGAGTACCTGCAGCCCAACCCAGGTAGGGGTGCCAGCCAGCTAGGAGGGGTCCGTGTCAGCCCGGAATTGGCCGGTTACTGGAGCCTAAGAAAGAATGTGTGAGCTCAGAGAACTGAAGTGCCCAGGAGTAGGCAGGCGGGTTTCATGGGTGGATCCAAGGGTCCAAAGGATGTCCCCAGAGCCCTGCATTTCCCTTCCACTTCATCAGGCAGCTCTCGTTCTGTGTGGCAACCCTAGTCCAAAATCACCCTTACAGCTAATAGTCCCAGCCAAAAAGAGCATCTTTTCCACCTTAACCAACTCACTGGACCAGTTTGAATTGCCCACCCATTTGCCAGGCCCCAGCTGCAGGCCCACCTTTGGAGCAGGCAACGGGCAGGTGACTGGCTCCTCCGGACCCCACGGGGAGTGGGAGCGGGAATCTCCTACCCTGAGAGAGAGATGAGGACCTTTCCCTGAGGAGAATCCAAATCTGGGTTCCCATAGCAGGAGGTGATGGATGTGGGACCAGCAGCAACACCAGCCAGGTCCGTTCATGGCCCGGGCCAGGGACAGACCTGAGCGGGCAGAGGCAAGCGCACAGCTCCTCCCCGACGCCAGGTGGGGGGGGGCTATGTCTGGGGCACCTGGACCTGTACACACCTATACCTGCCCCCCTACTTCTCTGGGGTGCTACTCCCCAGGCCAGGGAAGGGAGCTTCTGTGATCGGAGCTGTGCTCCAGGACAAGGAGGCCCCGTGGGGTCCGGAGGAGCCAGTCACCTGCCTATTGCCAGGGTTCTCTGTGGCCGAGGTGAGCAGAGGAGGGAAGTCTACGCAGGAGTTTCTCCTCAGAGCCTGGCCATCAGCAGGCATAGGAACCAAGCTTCCTTGGGTCAGGGCAGCGCTTTAGAAATAAGGGTGTTGGGAGGGGGCAGCCGGCAGCACTGGCCAAGTGCAGGCCTGGTTCTCGAGAGAAACTGGCCGCACGCCTACCCAGCCTGTTCTCCTCCAGCTTCACGGGCCAAGCTCACGATGCTCAACACGGTGTCCAAGATCCGAGGGCAGGTGAAGAACCCTGGCTACCCACAGTCAGAGGGCCTGCTGGGCGAGTGCATGATCCGCCACGGGAAGGAGCTCGGTGGCGAGTCCAACTTCGGTAAGGGCTCTGGAGGGCCAGAGCATCTGGCACTGGACAGTGGGATGCCACTTCCTTGCCACTGCCCCAGAGTCTTCCACAGTACCCGTTAATCCCCTGGACGAGGGCGGCTGAGGCTCCCAAGAACACCTTTCCTTCCTCAGTGGGGATGAGCGAGGATCGGAGTGTTGCCTGTAGGGCCAAGGCCACTGGGAAGCCTGCCCTCAAGCCACAGCTAATGCTGGGGAAGCCGTGGTGGGGGGGGGTTGACACCCGTCATTGCCAACTCCTCCTGGCTGCTGGGGCTCAGACTTCAGGGACCCTTGTTTTGTCCTGAATTCTAGCATCTGGGCCCTGGGGTGAGGGCAGGTTAGCAGTTGGGGGTATCTTGGGCCCCCAGGCCCCGGTCTCCTATGATAGTTTCTCTCCCAATCCCTGCCCTGCTGCAGGGGATGCCCTGCTGGACGCGGGGGAGTCCATGAAGCGCCTGGCAGAGGTGAAGGATTCTCTGGACATAGAGGTCAAGCAGAACTTCATCGACCCCCTACAGAACTTGTGTGACAAAGACCTAAAGGAGATCCAGGTGCTGCCCCCCCCATGCCCCATCCAGTGTGCCCGCCCTCACACAGCCCCCAGGGCAGGTGCCTCACAGCCCTGCTCCCCCACCTTTCCGCCCCGCCCAGTGTGCCCGTCCTCCTGCAGACCCCAGCATGTACCTCACAGCTCTGATGCCTTCTCCCCCTCCCCCCACAGCACCACCTGAAAAAGCTGGAGGGCCGCCGCCTGGACTTCGACTACAAGAAGAAGCGACAGGGTAGGATCCCCGACGAAGAGCTGCGCCAGGCCCTGGAGAAGTTTGAGGAGTCCAAGGAGGTGGCCGAGACCAGCATGCACAACCTCCTGGAGACCGATGTGCGTCCGGGCCCTCCCTCGGGGGAGGGCCCCCACCCAAAAAAAGCGGGGCAGTGGGCAGAGTCACCCATGCCCTGCCCATAGTGGGCTCAGCCCCTGCTCTGAGCCTGAAGGGGCAGCTGCGGGACCCGAGGGGCCTCCACCTGCCCCCTGAAGCTTTCGGGTCTCCTCCAGCAGCAGCGCAGGGGTCGGGCAGCTGGGGAGGGGGCCGGCCCCTGTCCCGGGAGCATTCTAGCAAGCCTTCCTAAAAGAGGAGGCCCTTGGGGGTAGGGGTCACAGGGAGGGCCGCCCCTTCAGCGGGCTGCTCGCTCGCAGATCGAGCAGGTGAGCCAGCTCTCCGCGCTGGTGGACGCCCAGCTGGACTACCACCGGCAGGCCGTGCAGATCCTGGACGAGCTGGCTGACAAGCTCAAGCGAAGGTGGGCCCCAGCCCCTGGCCTTCCGTGGGGGAGCCTGTCCTGCTTTGGGCTGGGCCGGGGTGCCCCGGAAGCCTAGAGTCATTCCCGTGGATTCCTGGGTGGCCGTTCAGGGCTTCCAAGACCCCACCGACAGCCCAGCCCTGCTTGGAGCCTGTGTCAGAGCAAGGGGCTGGCTTCTCATAAAGAATTCCCAGACTGCACTCGTAGGGTGGGGACTCCGGGAGGGAGCAAGACGCATCAGGCTTGCCACAGTTGTCAGAGGGGAGGCTTGGGGTGACCTGAGGCTGGGGGGCCAGAAGAAAGAGGCCCCGCAGAGCTCTGGGCCTGCGGGGGTGGGTTACCCAGGGCCGGGTGGACGGGGCTCCCCTCTGTGAGCCGTCACTAGTCTAGGGCCTGAAAAGGACAGCCTTGGGTAGCCGTGTCCCCGGGTTGGGTGGGCATGCTAAGGGGGCTGCAGGGTTTGGCAGGACCTGGCCAGTTGGCAGCCTCTAAGAAGGGCCTGAGCTGGGGGAGCTGACCAACTGGGAGGCCCTTTGGTTAGACCCTTTGGGCCTCTGCGTCCCTCCCCCGACCCCAAGTCCTGGACAGCAGCATCAACGGTGGGGAGGGAGGTGTCCCTTCACCTTGGCACACACAGGACTCAGGCCCTGCTGGCTGCTCACAGCTCTCCCTCCCTGCCTGCAGGATGCGGGAAGCCTCCTCTCGTCCCAAGCGGGAATACAAGCCCAAGCCTCGGGAGTCCTTCGACCTTGGGGAGCCTGAGCAGTCCAATGGGGGCTTCCCCTGTGCCACAGCCCCCAAGATCACACGTAAGGAGTGGGGAGGGGTCGCCCCCAGCCCGCTGCTCTGTCTAAACTGCAGAGCCAGGCCCACCCCACTCCCTCTGGGGAGGGGGCCCAGCCCAAGGTTCTCAGCCCCCCTTTTTGCTTTGTCTGCAAGCAGCTTCATCATCTTTCCGGTCTTCCGACAAGCCCATCCGGACCCCTAGCAGGAGCATGCGTGAGTGTCCCTGTGGGCACAGGCCCTGCCCTCACAAGCTCCCCACTTCGGTGTATAACACTGCCTTCTGGTCTGTTCAGAAGGACCCTTCTCTGGTAGAAGCGGACGCCCCTGGGATTGGTCCTCTTGGCCCATCTCGGGCAGGGGAGGAGCTAGGCACTGGGCCTGCACGGCACAGCACGGCCTCTCTGGGCCTCGCCGGGCCTCGCCATCCGCGTGAGGGCCTTCCGCGAACACCAGGGGTGTCCAACGGTCTCTAGGCTCTCTGAGTGGCCACCTGAGGGCTTCTGGTCATTCTCTCACCCTGACGCCACTGGGCGTCCCCAGCTCTTCGCAGGAGCACGTCTGGAGTCCCTTTCTGTCCCCTTTTCCCTTGTCCCTCCTTTCTGACAAGACTGGGGGAAAACAGAGGAAGCGGCAGCCGTCCTTCAGGGGCCACGACCAGGCTGGGGCGGGCGGGGTGGGAGGGAGCCAGGGGTCTGAGCCGAGCCCCTGCCCCCAGCACCCCTGGACCAGCCGAGCTGCAAAGCGCTGTACGACTTCGAGCCTGAGAACGCCGGGGAGCTGGGCTTCCACGAGGGCGACGTCATCACGCTGACCAACCAGATCGATGAGAACTGGTACGAGGGCATGCTCCACGGCCAGTCGGGCTTCTTCCCCCTCAGCTACGTGGAGGTGCTGGTGCCCCTGCCGCAGTGAGGGCGTCAGCCCCGTCCACACGGCCTGCATCCCGCCTGCGTCTGTGGCACTCCTGGGGCTAGGGGCAGAGTGGGGAGGCAAGCCGCCCCCCCGCTCAGGGGGCAGCAGGGGCGGGGGAAGCGGGGAACGCTGACACTAGCGCTCACCCCCAGCCCCCTCTCCACGCAGCAGTCTGGGCCGGGCTGCTCCCTGACTGCATCTCCCCAGCCCCGCGCCCCGAGGGGGCGAACACTAAGGTGCTCTTAGAAACACTAACTTCCTCCCGCCCGTCCAGGAACGGGTCACTCCAGGTGGGCCCCCTCACTCACACACGCACACATGTGCGTGCACACACACCCTGTCCTGTCCCTCCTTCGTCCCCTCTATTCTGGGGTGGCCCCCCACCCCCCAGGAGACCTGCCCTTAACGATGAGCTGAAACATCTGTGCCACTGGGTGTTCTGAGCAGGCCCCGTGGCCAAGACTCACCACCCCTGCTTTTAAATTACCCCACAGCACTCCTTCCCAGCCCCAACTCCAGGCCTCCCCAGGCCCCGGCACACCTGGGATGCCACCTCCTTGGGGAGACACAAGCCTGGGGTCCTCAGGGTTCCCCTAAAGACCGGCCCTTCCCTGAGCAGCCTTGGAGCGGCTCTCCTCTTCCTCCCGCAGGGCACCCAGCCCAGCACGCCAGCACCCTCCCCCCCCATCCCGCACCCTCTCCTCAGTTCCCCGTGTAGGGTGCCCCACCCCAGACAAGCACACAGACGTTTTTCTCCGGCACGAGCTGCCACCACCAGCTGTGCACGCAGCACACCCGTGTGCACCCACAAACGGGACCACAGGAGTCTTGCAGCCTCTGCTCTGCTGAAGGTCAAGTACACAGGCTTTGAGGCATCTTCCCAGACCCCTGGCCGCTGGGACTACCCTCAAGAGAGGGTCACAGGCGCCTCCCCCTCCTGAGCCGGCTGCCGTGCCCACTGCTGACAGTGGCCCCAGGTGGGCAGCTGCCCTGACCAGCAGGGCCCAGCCCTGCATCCACCTCCTCTCTTGTCTCGTCCAAAAATTGGCTCAACTGGGGGACTTCGGGACTGGATCACATTCCCCCCCTCCTCTGATGACTCAGCAAAGCCCTGGGGACACCAGGCTCTGCTCCTCCCTGAGCCCCCCCCATTGCCATTCCGGGGGGGCGGGGGAGGCACCGACCTCCCAGCAAAGAATGAGCAGCGTAGCCTTGTTCACAATCAAGGGCAGATCAAAATGTAATCCTGATTTTTTTAAAAAAAAGTATTAAAGGTCTCTTTCTAGAGCCTCTTGCTTGGTTGTGGTGTGGGGTGGGTCTTCCCCCAGCTCCCCTGGACCCTCACGGCTCCCCCGAGGCATCCCGTCAGGGGAGGGCCACTCCCGGGGAGGGTACCTGCCCCGCAGGAGCCAGGGAGGGAGAGCTGTCCTCTGCCCAGCCCTGGCCCCAGGAAGCCCACACCACGGCTGCACGAAAAGTGTCCCCTCCTGCACCGGCCAAGGTGCCACGCTGCCCAGACAGCCACCCACGTGCCCAGTGATGAGTGCGGGGGGGCGGTGGGGGGGGAGGCACCTCCAGATGAAACACACGCCCAGACTATTTGCTTGTCCCCTTTATTATCTGTGCCACAAACAAAGCCCCCAGACCCATTCCCCCTCAGCCGGAACCACTGGGGGTTCAGTCTGCCCGAGAGGCCCTCGGAGGTGGTGGTGCCTCAGCTCCCTTGTTTAAGAAGGCTGTAGACCTGCTCCAGCACGTGGCACAGGCCCTGGTCCTTGGGTGTCCTGCTGGCCAGGGAGATCTGAAACGGGCAGGGCTGGCGCCTCAGGGCTGGGCCCAGTGGTCCTGCCCGCCCCTGTCCTGGCAGGGGGGTTTTACTAACCGAGGTACACAGTAGTGTCCCGAAAACGTTTTATTTTTTAAAGGAGGCGGCTCCCCCTTGCAATGTTCTGTGCTCTCTGCACATTCCATATCCTGCTCTCTCCCTAGCTGCCTCCCTCCCTCCCAGGCTCTCATACCCCCTGCGTGGGGAGCCACCCCCGACCCCACCAGCCCAGTGATGGGGTGGAGGGGACCCGTGGCAGCTTGAAGCTCTGGTCACTCTAAGTTTGAACAAAACAAGCATGCAAAACTGCATTTCTCTACCCAGTAGAGTTGAAAATGCCTTCTGAGGACTTCCATGTCAGAAGTCAGAAACCGCCCCCCCCAGGCCACCAAGCCCTTACGTGTCCCCCTAAATGACTGTAGGGCCGGTGAGCTGGAGAAACCCTTCAGGGCACCAGCTGCTCTGGGACTGCAGCCCTCGTGCGCTCCCCGCGGGCGCCCGAGCGGAGAGACGGCCCCAGCGCAGCTTCTCCCCAGCCCAGGGTCCGCGTGCCGCTATGCTTTCAGCTGCATTTCAGTAGTGCTCCCTGTCACTGTCACCACCCACATGGGGCCGAACAAGCTTTAATATCCAGCTGAAGTACTTTATACAGAACAATTTAGGACAGCACCGTTTCTCAGGCTGCCCCTGGATAGATCCTTCGGGGGCTCCCCAAGAACTGTCTTCCTCAAGGGGTTTGCAGGAGACTGGGGTCATGAGTCTTACCTTCAGCTTGTCGAGGTACGTGTGCTCCTGGCTCCAGGGCTCCTGGAACCTCACGAGGTCCGGGGCGCCCTTGTAGAACTCCACCAGCAGCATCTAGAGGACGGGGCACCGATGGGACCCCAGGCGCTCGGGACACAGCAGCGAGCACCACAGGCGCCTACCGCCGCCTCTCCGGGGGGCTCCCAGTCCTATATAGCACACAGGGGCTACCTAGGACCCCAAGACAGACCACCCGGGAGCGCCACCAGAGGGAAAGAAGGGAGCTTCGCAGGAGGCCCCTGGAGTGGGGGAGACGGAAGGGGCACCCCCTCCCCCGGCAGAGGGAAGCACCAGTGATTCTGGATGTCCCCACAGACCTGCCCCCGCCCCCTTGTGTAGCCTCCTCCCACGCAACAGCGGATCCGCAATACCACAGGTGTGACCTACTAGCTGTTTTTAAAACGGCTGTTGGAACGTGGGCACTGAAAACATTCATCTGGGCACCACCTGAAATCCCTCACGTGTCTTCAATCAGTGGCAGGTGTAGGGGCGCTAGGCCGGGGCACCTCCAGCAAGTTCCAGAACAGCAAGGCCAGGTCTGGGGCGGGGCAGGGTGGCGGGGGGCAGGTGGGCAAGAATCTGGGACCTGAGTTTCGGCCGCGGAAGAGGAGTCTGACCCCTGCTCCGATGTGGTGCATTCAGCCACCCTGAGTCCTGCAGTATCGCCCCCGTCCAGCTGGGGCCCCAAAGCCCCACCCTCCCCCCTGGGGCCCCGCCCACCCCACCCGGAAGTGAGCTCACCATCTCATGCAGGATGTCATTAGTCAGAAAGGTGTCCTGGACGTAGGCCATCTCCACGTCCATGGGGATGCCGTAGTCACTGGGCCTTTGCTGGCAGGGACACAAGCCGGTCACCACCAGCCACCTCCAGCGCCCCATCCCATGGGGGATGTGCCCTGGGCCAGCAATCGGAGAATCAAGACTCCAGGCCTGGCTCCGCCCTGCGACCAGCTTCAAGGCCACGTGGCCCGGCCCCCAGCACGAGAGGCCGGGAATAGCTCTCCAAACCCCATTTCCGACCCCAGGACAGGTTCGGGAAGGAGGCCGTCTTAGTAACAAGGGCGGCATGCTCCGTGTGGAGCGCACACCTTTTCAACATCCCTCAACGGCCCAGGCCTTCACCGGAACCTCAGATAGTGCAGGGGTCATGTTCCCATTTCACAGGAGATACTGAGGCCCCAGCCCCCTCCCGGCCCCGCCTCCCCCAGCAGCCCCGCCTACCTCAGGGGGCGGCATCACCCAGAAGGGTGAGATCTTGGACTCCGGGCCGGGATTGCCAGAGTAGTAAGGGGCTGCAGGAGGAGAGTGAGAGTGGGGGCTGGGCCTGGAGGGGGTCAGCGGCCCAGGAGGGCCACGCGCACGCGCACGCGCACGCCGGGCAGCCGGACTTACAGCAGAGCAGGGCGAGGCAGGGCTGGAAGCCATTGCTGGAGCCTTGCAGGCGCAGCTGGTAGTCCATCTGCGAGTCGATGTCCTGCAGCGATGGCAGCGCGGGGCTGTGCGGGTGGCTGTGGTACCAGCCCACCAGGGACAGGCCCCGCAGGAGCAGGCTCTGGTAGATCTGGGGGGGCACAGGCGAGGCTGGGGCGGGGCGGCGCAGGCCGGGGGCTCTACCAGCCCGTGTGCGCACACCTGCCTGCCATGTTCCATCCCCATGTGAGGCCAGCACTGAATAATATGTGCCTGCTGTGTACCAGGCCTGGGGACACAGCGGTGGCCAGGACCCTGCCCCCACCCTCAATGAGGCCAGTGGAGGGAGCACAGTCAACAAATACATTACAAAAAAGACGCACCTGTCACCAAAGCAAAGGCAGAAGTTTATTGGGGGCACTGCAGTATCCCTAGCTCATGGAATAATTCCTGGCACTCAGTAGGCACTCAAATTAAGTGAGGAGCTAGGTGGGTGTGTGCGCACTTGAGCAGGACAGGCATTTCCGGGTGCCTGAAGCAAGTAGGGGCAAGCTGGGGCCTACGGAGCAAGAGCGAGCTGAGCTGGGCCGGGAGAAGGCGGGTGTGGAACGCTTGGCACAGCGCCAGGCACATGCAAGGCTGCCCCAGGCAAGCACTATTAGAATGGCAGCTGATATTCACGGGGCTGTCACTGCACGCCGGGCACGGCATGCAGACGGGGGTTCAGAGGGAAAGGGGGCAGGCCACCTGTGCCCAGAGGAAGGATAACCATGGGGTCACAGCCACGGGGCGGGCACTCACACACACACACACACACATTTGCACACTTGTTGAACTAGGACACCGTGCTAGCCACCAGGACACGGTAGCCAGGACAGCTGTGTCCACCCCTGCCCTCCCCAGAACACCTTGACCCCACGTGTCCCCTCACTTCCTCTTCCATGGTGGCGGCCATATCCGCGTCCCCCAGCCGGCTCCGACAGGGGAAGGCTCTCAGCACCGTGAGCACTGCGCAGAGGTGGGGAGAAGGTGTAGACATCATCCCCGGCCCCAAGCACCCCCCTGCCCACCTGGCCCCAAATACCCACTCTGGCTGTTGATGTCCCAGCGGCCCCCCAGGTACCCCACGACCTCGCTGCAAGTCAGGTGGCTGTGGAAGTCCTGGGGAGGGGATGGACATCGGAAGAGCGGCTCAGGCTGCGGCCCAGCCCCAAATGTCTATCCACAGGGCCAGAGCCCTTGCTATGTGCAGGGACCACCCCACCAGCCTCCTAGGTGCAAACCTTGAGTGCCTACTGTTTACCAGCAGTGACAAGCAGACAAGGTCCCTGCCCTCATAGAGCTAACGTTCCAGGGACCCCTCCCAGGTGCCCCAGCCACCTGCCCAGGCCTGGCCCTTGGCCCTCAAGGGACAAGGTGGCAACGGGGCACGCACCAGCAGGAACAGCACGTTGCTGGAGATGGCCACGTTGAACGGCTGGAACTTGTTGATGGCAGCGAAGGATGTTACTTCCACCAGGGTGTGGGGGTTCCTGCTGGAGCCAGAGGGTCCCACAGCTTCAGGAGCTAGCTCCCCAGGCCTCCGGAGCCAGCTCTGAACACGGGAGGCCTTGTGCCCACCCTACTCCTGCTCGGGCTGACCCCACTCCCGCAGAGCGAATGTACACGGGGGGTGCCGGGGGTTGGTGGCGGCAGGCACAGGGTGTGTCTGACCTGGCAGAGTCGCGACTCCCCAACATGCAGTAACGCACAGGCACCCGGATCTTGTTTTCCACCCGCTTCCCGGGGGGCACGGCCTCTGCACGTGTGGGGTAACGGAAAAAAGACGGCATCAATCCCTCCCAGCCCAGAACCGGAAAACAAAAGCCCAGGCGGCCCAAGAAAGAAAAGCCTCCAGAGGCCACTTGAAAAATCAGGCTGCGTGGGCGCCTGGGTGGCTCAGACGGTTGAGCGTCTGCCTTCGGCTCGGGTCATGATCCCGGGGTCCTGGGATCGAGTCCCGCATCGGGCTCCCTGCTCCTTGGGAGCCTGCTTCTCCCTCTGCCTCTCTCTCTCTCTCTGTCTCTCATGAATAAATAAATAAAATCTTTAAAAAAAAAAAAAGAAAGAAAAATCAGGCTGCAGAACCCAGAGATCAGGGCGGCAAGTTAACAAATCAGAAAAAGGAGATTAAAATGCCAGCTGAAGGGGGGCTTAGGAAATCAGGTGAGGACCTCAGGAAACCAGACAGGGGGCCAAAGGAATCAGGCAATGAGGCAAAGAAGTCCTTTAGGGGAGCATGGAAATCAGGCAGCACGGGAAAGAAATTAGGCAGTGGGGCTAGGAAGTCAGCCAGGCATCTTGGGAGCGCTGAGAAAAGGAAAGGCCAGATCTGTCCCCTGCCACCTCCCTCACCTGACTTGTGCCCGCCTCCTGCGCGGCCTCCTCCCCTCCCCTAAGCCTCTCACCTGGGTGGGCAGGCTCCAAGGGTCCCTTCGCAGGTGGTCTCCGACTCTTGTCCTCTGTGGAGACCCCTGCCAGAACGTCCTCCTCTTCTTCCTCCATCAACAGCTCCTCCTCCTCCCCTTCGCTAGGCGGGCTCTGATGGGGAGGGGGCGGGGGCGGGGGTGGGGGAAGGCCGCAGGACCCTCAGCTGCGTGCCGCCCACCCTCCTCACCACGGTCCGCCCAGACCTTCTGCGGGCCTGAGCCTTAGGTTCCTGCCATTGCCCCAGATGTCCACTAGAGGGAGGGAGTGAGCAGAGGCGGCCTACGGTTCGGTTCCAACTCCCGTCTGAGCGCCTTGCAGATCCAAACCTCGCCTCTGCTTTTTACAAGCTGTGTGGCTTCCCGCAAGCGCCCTAACCTCCCTGAGCTCTAGTCTCCTCATCTGTAAAACCACACAATGACCTTCACCTGCATAAGGACAGTATTGGGGTGAAATAAGATAATGCCTGCAAAGCAATTAGCATGCCTCCTGTCGAATTCACTCATTGGGCAAGCCGGTGCTTACAGGGATTATTTTATCAGATTGTCTCAATAATCCCTCCTCCTGACCTCCCCGTAACTGCCTGTGCTCGGGTGACTTCCCAGTGTCCAAATCCAACAGTCACATAGTCTCTGTCTTCCTCCCCCTCGCCGCGGTGTCTTACTGGCCCTCCTCGGGGGAACTCCTCAAGGACCTCACTCCCCTCCCGCCCCCCCCCCATGCCCAGCCTCGGGCCTCGGGCCTCTTCCCTCCCTACCTGCCCCCCTCCCGGGCAGCCTCATCCACTCTCCCTCCCTGTCTATGACAGGATGACGCCCACAGTCCTGTCTCCAGCCGGGCCTTCCCCTCAGCTCCAGACTCGGGGGTCCAGCTCCAGACTTGGAGGTCTCTTTGTGGGGCGCTCCCGGGCGTCTCACACTCAGCTGGGCGACACTGCACCGGACTGTCCCCCACACCTGCTCCTCCCCAATCCCCATATCTCTGAGGATGGCAGCTCCAGCCATCCTCAGAACAAAATATCCCTTAGCAGTTAACCAACATCTCATGCAGCAGCAGATCCCGTGAGATCCACTTCAAAATTCAAAACCTGCCCACTTCTTCCCCCCATCCATTGTCGGGCTGGCCCACCCCATCATCTTCCACCTGGACCAGTTCAGTCTCCTATACTGGTCCCCAGCTCCCACCCTTGCCCTGCCTCCCAGTCTGTACAACATATAGCGGCCACCAGAGGGCGCCTGTGGGCTCCTGAGTCAGGTCTGTCCGTCCTCTGCACCTAGGCTTCCAGGGCTCCCACCCACCTCGGGGTAAAAGCCCAAGTCCTCCCTGCCTGTTCCCAGCCTGCCAGCTGCCCTACAGATTTCAGACCCGCCAGCCAGATACACATATCTGGTACATACAGGTACTGTGGTCATCTTCATTTTACATACGAAGACGACTTAGGACCCAAAGAGGGTCTTTGGTTGGTAAGTCCACCCAGCTGGTGAATACTCAAAGATCTCTTATTATCGTAGCATTCGAAACTCAACCAGATCTGGTCCCTGCCAATGTCCCCAGTCCCCTCAGCTACCCAAGACATGTGAGCCTCCAGCTGTATCAGCTAATCATGGCCCCCCAAGTGCTCTGTTGCTTTCTACCAACGTGGCTTGGCTGCGCCATTCCTGCCCTCTGAAAACTCTTCACCTTGCTCTGACAAACTCCTGCGCATACCACAGGGCCCCAGCTCCAACGCCCTCACTCTGGGCACTCCTTATCCAACAGCGAGTCAGGGAGAGCTTGCTCCAGGAGGCTGAAGGACGCACCTCATCGGCAGCAGCGGTGGGAATGTGGAGCTGGTGTCGCCGGAGCCAGGCTGCCTTGTACTTGTCCAGTTTCTGGCCCTTGTACTTGACAGAGGCCCAGCCACAGCCGGACTTCTTGGCCGGGTTCACCAGCTTTTTGCAGTGGGTGGCCCAGGCGCTGGGTGAGTTGAACACCTGCCCTGTTTCCTGCCACACGATCCTCCCGTCGGGTTGCAGGTCCCCCATGAACTTCTTCCCCTGCAGTTAACAGTGGCCTGGCTGGGCCCAGGGACCTGGGACCCACCAAGGCCCCTCCAGGAAGTCCTCCCTGACCCCCTGCTGCTCCCCAGGGCTTGGCACCCACTTCCGCCTACAGCATCCCTCCCAGGAAGCCTTCCGGCTTAAATGCCTCCCAGTACCTGTGTGTCCATTATCACAGTCCTCATCAGCCTGGGCTGAAAGTGCCCAGCTCTGTGTCTCCACCCCCTCACCGTACTGTGAGCCCCCAAAGGGCAGGGACGAGGTCTGCTCGATCCCTAACACACAGCTCACAGTCAGGCGCGGAGCAAGCTCTCCATTCATAAACTGCTCCCACTCCCAGACCAGCAAGCGCTCCATTCATAAACTGCTCCCACTCCCAGACCTACAGCAACAGCAGCAGGCCTGTAAAGCACTCACGGTAGAGCAGGCACCCTGCTGGGCGCTGTATTCATTTAATCCTCATACAACTCCGTGAGGGGGGAAAAAATGCCATTTTATACATGAGGAAACCAGGATATGGAGAGGCTGAGCAAGGTCCCACAGCCAGGAAAGCGGTGGTGTCCTCTTCTGAGCTCAGTTTCTCCTTTGCGCAATAGGGTGTTTGGGAAACGAAGTCCTCCTGCGCAGAGGGGCTCCTGCTAGGTCTGGATGCTCCGTGTTTCAGCTTTCCCTCCCCACACCCGGGCTCGGCCGGCGGCCAGGGAGCTCTGGGCCTCAGTTTCCCCTTCCTGCCTCAGCCGGGATGGGATGGGGGTAGGGGCGCTCACCAGGTAGTAGATGGACAGCACCCCGGCGCCCGGCTCCAACAGCGCGTCTTTGAGGAGCACCCTCAGCGTGACCGCGCGCCTGGTGAGAGCGCCCCCCGGCCCGCCGCAGCCCGCGGCCCCGCAGCCTCCTCCTCCTCCTCCTCCGCCGCCGCCGCCGCCGCCGCCGCCACCGACGCCTCCGCTGCGCGCGCTGCCAGCTCCAGCCGGCCGCTCGGGGTCCTCCGCCTCCGCCTCGTCCTCATCCTCGTCCGGCGCCTCCTCGCCCGCGCCGCCCGCCGGGGACAGCGGCTCCGGAGCTGCGGGCAGCGACAGGCTGCACGGGGCCGCGCCCCCCCCCGGCCGCCCCAGCCACCCCGCCGGGTGCTCCCCGGCCCCCGCCAGGCCCGCCGTACCTGCCATGGCCGCTCCGCCCAGCGCCCCGCGCCGCGAGCCGCGAGCCCTTTCTTCCCGGCACGTGACACGGCTCCGCCCCCAAGGGGAGGTGCCCCAGCCTGCGGGCTGGCGGGGAGCTCGGCCGGCGGGGGAGAGCGGGGAAGCTGAGGCCTCGCGCCTGTGCGCGGACTGGGAGCTGGGGGACTCAGCCCTCCGGGACCATTCGGAAAACGCAGGCCCAAGGCTACCTTCCGTGGGAGGCGCGTGGCAACATACAAGTGGGGAAACTGAGGCCCCGCGACTTCGGCTTTCGGGGAACTAGTGCCTCCACTCGAAGCGACCCGTTATTGGATTGAGGCCTGGAGCTGGAGGCTTCGGGGGACTCCGCTCAATGGGACCAGACGGGAAACTCGAGGGCCCAGAGATCTCGGTCGCTGAGCCCAGGGGAGAAACTGAGGCCCTGAGAACGAGCCACAGCGCCCTGGGGCTGCAAGCCAGAATGGGGAAGGAGCCCCGCGCCGCGGCTCTGAAGCATCCCAGCCGGACGTCAGTCTCTAAAGGGTTAACTTCCAGTCCCTGAACTGATTTCAAGGTTGGACCGGAGCACAACAGCCAATTATAGAAGTGTCATTTAAACTTTAACCAGTAGGCAGCAGCCGCTGGATTCCCCCCAGCCAATCAGTGTTAAGCTGCTACTACCGCCAAACTTGTCCCCCTCAGCCAATCAGCAGGAGCTCCTGGGCTTCCCGTGTCCATTCAGTTGCAGAGTTTGGTCCTCCGCCAGCCAATCAGGTCCCGGGTCAAAAAAACGCGTCCGCGGTCTGGCTCTCTCCCCCCACTTCCCACGCCCCCTTGCGCGGGGTGTTAGTAGGCGGAGCCCGGCCGGGTGTTCGCTGGAAGGGTGTGTCCCAGTCTTTTGTCCCCGGTCCTTGTCCCAGGACCTTTGCGCCGGAGGCGCAGCGACACTTCCCAGAACGGGCAGGACTAGAAGTCCGGGGTGGGGGCTCCTAGCCTGCGGGGAGCCGTGGGCTGGGCTCTGCCGCGGACGGGTTTACTCGGCCCCGGTCTGGAAAGGGGGACAGGACGTTGGGGGTGGGGGCGGGGATGTTCAGGGAGGGTGGTCTGGAGTCCGACCGGACCTGGCTCCAGATCCTGCCCCACCACTTCCCAGCCCTGTGACTTTGGCCAAGTGGCTCCTCGTCTGGGGTTCACCATGGGGGCAATAATAATATCTACCTCAGGGCTGTTGCAGAACAGGGCTTGACATCTAATAAGAGCTGGATAAATTTTTGTCAAGTCCACGCCTGCTTTTGGAATTTCCCACACACGCCCCGCCACCCCCACCCCCCCACCCTCCCACCCCGGTCCAACTACCAACTGGGCGTTCCCTGGCATCTCCGGGCTCTGACCTCAGTTTATACCCCTATATCCTTGCCCATGTTCTCTTTGACTGTGTTCCCAAGACCCTGGGTCAGACCTCCAGCCTCTCCATCTTCCTCATCCATCTTCCACCCTGGCCCCAGAGGGATCTTACTAAAATGCAACCATGACCACCTCCCTCCCCTGCTCTAAATCCTTCTATGGCTCCCCATTGCCTTTGATAAATAAAATTAAACGGCTGTGACCTTACCATCTATGACTCCCTTTTATGGCAGGTATTGTTATCAACTTTGTAAGACAGTTAATCAGATAAAGAGATTACCAAGTCAGACAGCTCTTGAACGGATTCCAAAGGCTATTTTTCACTATGTGTATAAAGTCCAGGCAGACCTGTAATGATTAAGGAAATTGAATTTGTAATTTTAAGACTCCTCAAAAAGAAATCTCCAAGCCCAGATGGAGAATTCTACCAAAGTTTCAAAGAAGAAATTAACACCACTTTTAAATAATCTCTTCCAGAAACTTGAAGAGGAGGGAACACTTCCCAATTCATTTTATGAAGATAGCATTACCCTGATAGCAACACCAGTTAAGGGTAATACAAAAAAAAAAAAAAAAAAGGAAAGGAAAGAAAACTGTAGACCATATACCTCATGAATAGATGCAAAAAATCCTTAACAAAATATTGGGAAATAGGGGTGCCTGGGTGGCTTAGTCGGTTAAGCGTCTGCCTTGGGCTCAGGTCATGATCTCTGGGTCCTGGGATCCAGCCCTAAGTCTGGCTCCATGCTCAGCGGCAAGTCTGCTTCTCCCTCTCCCTCTGCCCCTCCCCACCCATTGTGCTCTCTCTGTGTCTTAAATAAATTCTTTTTTTTTT